AGTTCTCAAAGCTGGGTCGCATAGTAAACTCATCCCGCTTTTGATTTTTAGATGGATTATAGATTATTTGCATCGACAGTAGCATGCGAATAGGGCCCTGGAATGCCGGTGAGAGACTGTTCTTAAAGAGTCATCTTGGGTAAACGCACGACTGTGATAAAGTTGGCCTGCGGAGCGTGAGGGGCTGAAACTGGAAGTTTGCTTCGAGACTAGCCCGAGATCAGCCTTTTGCTTTCTCAGTGGTCAGGGCTGGACAGGAGCCCGGCTGGTAGGAGGGCCGGGGTTGGGGGCGGGGGGCCGGTGAGGGATGGGGAGGTGAAAAGCACAAATGAAGCAGCAGGTTTCTTAGTCGGTCAGACTTGAGAGCAGGCTGCAGAGCTGAGCTTTCCGCCTGGGCATGTCCTTTTTCTGGGTTGTCCAGCTGGAGAAGAGATTTCACATGCTCTCGTTTGGTGTCACTCACTATATTTAGTTACCAATAACATTGCCGTCAGCCCCCTGGACCTGATGCCACGTGGGTGAGGATCCTGGAGAAGTCCTGCTGGGTAGGCAGAATTCATCCCGGCCTGCCCCTGTGTTTGGGGGGAGGACCCCCCTTCCACAGGCTTTTGGCTGTGCCATAAAGATCCCATCTGGAATGAAGGGGCTGGGATACTGAGGGACCTCAGCTCCCCTCCCCTGGGACCCCAAGACAACATCTTACATTAAAATTCAGAATCGAGGTGTCTCCCAGGAACAGTGAAGGGGAGGAGACTGGAGGGGAGGGGGTTATGTTTTCCCTTTCCGAGGGGCTGGTGGGGGTTCCCATCTTGACAGTCAGCAGAGGGGACCTGGCCAAAGGCACCCCCCTTGCTGAGAGAGAGGCTAGTCCCCGTACCATGGCAGCAGCCACACTCAGGCAAGAGGAGATTCTGGAGGGGCAAGACTCTGCGTCCTAGGGCCAGGGATGGCTGGTGTCTATTTTATGCTTCTCTTTTTGGTATTATAATAATAAACTTTTTTTTTTTTTTTTTTGGCTAACGAAGATTTGCCCTGAGCTAACATCTGTTGCCAATCTTCCTCTATTTTTTGTATGTGGGTTGCTGTCACAGCATGGCCACTGAGAGATGAGTGGTGTAGGTCCATACCAGGGAACTGAACCTGGGCTGCTGAAGCAGAGGGCGCTGAACTTAACCACTAGGCCACCGGGGCTGGCCCTTATGATAAACTTCTGTTAGCCACTGCAGTCAGACCAGCTAGGGATTTAAGTAATATGCCTATTTCTATAACTGGGGCTCAGCCTGGCAAAGAAGATTCTAGACATATGCCTTCCAATATGGCAGCCACTTGTGGCTACTGAACACTTAAAATGTGGCCAGTCTGAATAGAGAGGTGATATAAGTATAAAATAGACATCAGCTTCCAAAGACTTACTATAAAAAAAAGAGAATGTAAAATATTTCATTAATATTTAAAAAATTTGATTTCATGTTGAAATGATGACAATTTGGATATATTGGGTTAAAGAAAACATATCATTAAAAATTAACTTCACCTGTTTTTTTACTTTTTAAAAGGTGGCTTCCAGGAAATTTAAAATTACTTTTGTGGCTTGCATTATATTTCCGATGGATAGTGCCGTTCTAGATGTCTCAGGGTGACCTTCAGCAATCCCGGGGTGGGTGTGTGGCCAAGATGCGAAACCACCACCAGGATGGATTTAACACACCGGCATCCCTTGGGAAGGCTCAGAAACAGGGGGGTCAGGAAGCCCCATTGAAGACTGGCTTTGCTGTGGCTCTGGCCACGTTAGTTGGGTATAAAAGGGAAGCGTGACTTAGCGTGGACCCCCGGATTAGGTCTCAGAGTAAGAGAACTAGCGATTTTCGTTTTGCAGTGGCCCCTTAAAATGGTTTCACCAAAACATGAGTCCAGAAGCCCAAGATGGGGTTGAGGGCTGAGAAGCCCTAGGTGCATCTCAAAGAGCTCTGAAGTGGCTTCTTGGCTCAGCCGTCAACCAGGTGGCTCCATTTTAGGGCCTCAAGAGTGTGTTCACAAAGATGCTGTCAGACCATGGCTATAGTGTAAGGAGTTTTAGGTCAAATCACAAGTACCCTCATGTAACAATTCCATATTATAAGAACATGGTGTTACCCGGAACAGTGGCCCTGTTGGCACCCTGCCGGAAGCTCTTCTGGTCCTGTGAGCTCATGCCCCAGCTCCTTTGCTGCTAATAAGGGCAGCTGGGACCCTCTTTAGGCGATTGCCTGTGGGCTACTGGTGCCCCCTCGCCCATTTGGAGAGCCAAGGCCCCCAGTGCCAGCGACTCCGCCTCCAGATGAGACAACTCGGAGCTGCCACTTCGGCTCCAGAGCTCCAGGGCCAGGCTGAGGCTACCCCTGAGTCAAATTCCCCTGTGGCTTTTTCCCCTTCCCCGTCCTGCTCCTTCCACTCCCTTCCTGGTTTCTCCTGGAGGCACTTCCTTAATAGATCACTTGTTCTCAAATGCTCATTGCAGGTCTGCTTCTGGGACACTCCCCCCCCCACCCCAGTAAAACATAGACTTTATTGTGGGTGTTGGTTTTGACCTTGGGTGGTGCCATGTAATACACATCCATTGAGTGTGGGGGGTTCCAAACCCTTGAGACACCCTTGCTGAGAGTGTGTCTCTCACTCTCTGCGGGGGCTGCAGGACCAAGAGAGGGCCCATGTGTGGCCTGCTTCCCTCCAGGTCGTGTCTAGGACGCAGCAATGAACATCACACTAACAGTCTGGTGACTGCCCCTCTGACCGTTTATTTTATTGCTGTTTAATCAGGCTCTTCCCCAAACGTCTTTTTATCCCCATCACAGCCTTTTGTCCAGAAAGTTGCAACTGTGCCCCGCTTCTTGCCATCTTCGTGACACCCCCTGCCCTCTTACATAAAGTATTTAAAAATAAAGATTGAAACAGGAACTGAGCTGAGTTTTGCAACACAGAAGTGTATTCTAGGCCTATATTTATGGAAAGTCAGGGGTGGGGAGAGCAATGAGTCCACGGGCCGGGGGGAGGGGGCGCGTCCACACCAAGGGTAGTCACACTGGGTGGGCAAGCAAGATAGGAACGGGCGTCTGAATCCCGGGGGAGCATCAGAAATTACCGACATGATGGGGAGAGCCTTAGAAAAATCTATAAACACACACTGTCTCTACACGGGAGGCGCTCACTTCCCCTTAAGGTAGACTAGAACAAACTGAAAGCCACCCCAAACCCACATTAACCAAACACACACTCTAAGTCAAACATGACAAACTCTAAGTCTCCAGATAAACACCCTCAGACAGGCACTTGGTGTCCAGCTCGGGGGCTGGAGAGAAGAGCTGGGGCTTTGGCCCCTAAAGGCAAGGGCCACTGTCCCCAGAGTGGGGACAACAGCTTCTGAAGGCTCTGGGGTCTGATCTGTCCGGTGGTCCTGGCCCAGCTGGATGGGAAGGAGGCCTGTTTAAAGAAGACCCCTCCTCCGATTTCACTGCGACAGTGACCTGCAGGAAGGTCTGTGCCCCGGGCCTTTCCTGAATCTAGCGGACTGGCGTTTCTAAAGAGCAGGTCACTGAGAGGGCAGATGCTGGCCGTATAAGTGGGGGGCTGCATGCTGGGAACTGTCTGGCTCCATGAGGCCGGGACCAGGTCCAATTTGCTACTAACCATTGTATCCTCAGAGCCTGACACTGTGCCTGGCATTTAGTAGGCACACAACAAATGTTTGTTGAATGAATGAATGAAATAATCCAAGAAGGAAATCCTGTTCTCCCAAGAAGACAAATTTTCATTAGTTATAAATTGGCTCTTTTTTAAACTTCAAAGAGGAATTATGATTTACTTATTCTCCTGACATCAGCTGGCCCTAAAGGAACTTTTTTTGGTTGAAACTGAGTCTTTTCAGCTGGAGCCAGAGAATTAATCTGGTTATGTCCAAATAAGAGGGTCTTCAGCAAATGCTGAACTTCAATGGGATAAGTGATCCGTCTCTAAGGCCAGCAGCTGGCGCAGAACTGGCTGTTGGGGCTAGAGGCTGGGCCAGCATCCTTATATGCTGGGTCTGAGGTCTGGGGAAGAGGGGTCTTTGATATACCCTGGGCAAGGTCTGAGCCTGGCTGGTGGTGAAGCCCTTATCTAGCTGCCTGGACAGATGGCATGAGGAATAGGGAGTCGAGGCCGTGAGAGGCGGGAGGTCAGGAACTGGCCAGAGCACGAGAACCAGGCAAGAGAAGATGGACATGGCTGACCCTGGGGCATCTTTACACACTGAACTCTGAGGCCACGAGGATGCTGGTCTGGGGAGAAACTCCCAAGCATGTGGGAGAGGCTGCGTGCAGGAGAAAGAGGAGGCAGGAGGAGCATCTCCAAAATGGAGAAGGCCGCTCTGATAACGTCTGCTTCCAGGCGAAATGATTGGACCCTCAGGGGTGGGGAGGCTAGCCAATGGGGTCTACACGGCAGAGAGAAAGCCAAGGGATTTGAGAGAGGCTGGTAAGGAATGAATAACTGGAGGCGGCCACCTGGATACCCCAAGGGAGGTGAATTTGAAATGGTGATGGCACTTCAAGGTACGTCCGGGGTCTCAGGGTCCCTTTCTACACGCTCTACCTTAACCTTCGGGGCATGGCTGCCGGGAGAACCGGTGATCCCAGGGCTGCCTTCCCTTCTCCCCTCGTTTCAGTTTGGACAAGAGACTAAGGATCTCTGGAGAATGGTTTGCGGACACGGCTCTTGGTTTTGTTTCATATCTCATGTCAGGGCTGTACAGACACAGCCAAACGCCCAGCTATCGTCAGGAAGGGCAGAGTTGAGGCTCGCTGGGGGGGGACTTCAGAGGACACGAGGTCCTTCTGAGGGAGGCAAGGCACAGCTATCTCAGACCCTCCCCACCTCCTGAGGGTTTCCCGGCGGGGCCACCCAGTCCACGGCAGGCAGGGGCAAGCTCTGGGGGCACGAGGGCTCTGGAGAACGCAGGGGAGGAGGGAAGCGCCGGCCCCGGCGGGTCAGGGCACCATGTGCCACCACTTGAAGGCGAAGGGCTTCCTGCGGACGTTGGTGCCGCAGTGGACCTCGCCCAGGAACTTGTGGTAGGCGGAAATGTCGTCGACGAAGGTGCAGCAGAAGCCCAGGGGCTCCAGCAGGGAGCGCACGTGCGTCTCCAGGCAGCACTCCTCCTCCACCTGCGGCCCGAACGGCTTGGGGATGCCCAGGTCCTTGTCGAGCACGATCATGTTCACCTGTGACGGGCCGGGGTGGCGGGAGGGGCAACAGCTCCATTTAGTGAGCACCCACCACATGCCCGGCCCCGGTCCAGGCTCAGCGAGCCCTCCCAACAACCCTAAGAAGCAGGATTGTGATTATCCCCTCTTTACAGGTGAGCAAACTGAGGCACGGAGGGGGCAGAGCTGGAGTGGAAAACCAGGCAATTCGCTTCTGTCTGTATGGGTATGTACACGCACGTGTATGTGGCTATACATGTATGCATCAGTGTATGCATGTGCATGTGTGTTTGTGTGCACATGCATGTACGTGTGCGTATATATGTGTCTATGTGTGTGTTCTAACCTCCTCTTCCTTCCCAGGAGACTCTCCTCCGTGACAATGAGACTCCCTCCCATCCGAAAGGCCTTTTCCACTCACAAAGCACTTTCCTATCTGTTAAGGTAAAGGACTCCCCAGGACCCCAGTAGGATAAGCATATCACCCCTAGGAGGGAATGAGGCCCAGAGAGGGCAAGTGCCTGGGGTGTGTGGGTGAGGCCACACAGCAGCTCAGCCAGGACTGGGACCTGGGCCTCCCGACTGGACAGCCTCAGCCAAGGGGTCCTTCTGGATCCGGCTGCCCCCTGATTGGCCTTGATGTGGCCTGGGGTCCAGAAGGCCTCACCATATTCGGGAAGAAGGCTCTGGCCTGGCGGTTCTCATCCATCTTGAACAGAGCGGGCAGATCGATGATGTCCTGCTCTGTCAGCCCGAGCTCCTTCTTGAGGATGTCGCGGTTCCAGTCCAGGCAGCGCTGGGCGAGGGGGAAGGAGGGAGGGCAGGCAAGTGAGGGGACAGCCCTGCCGTCTTTGTCAACCCCACTCCCATCTGCAGCACGAGACCCAGGGTCCCAGATTCCAGGGGGACTTCCAGCGCTCACCGAGCTCCTCGTCCCCCCCAGGGCCCCCTCACCAGCGCTCAGTCACAGCAGTAGCAGGACGAGAGAGAAGCCTGCAGAAATAACACTAGCGGTCGTCACCTACTGAGCACGTTCTGTGAGCCAGAACCTGTGCTGAGCATGTGCTGCACGGTATCTCCCTGAACCCTGGGCAGCCCCGTGAGCTGAGAGTGACGGTGACAAGGATCCCAATAGTAATCATGAGAGCGAATACGTACAAGGGCCCTAAGTGTGCTGCTCTATGTTACTTATTTGAGCGTCAGCCCCTTGAGGTGGACACCACTATCATCCCCTCCTTAGAGATGCGGGAGCTGAAGACACAAGTCCATAGTGAGCTGCCCAAGGTCCTACTGGCGAAAGTGGGGGGCCATGATTTGACCTCAGATCTACCTGATGCCAACCAGTGACCATGGAGGGGGACAGTTATGATAAAGTCAATGTTCAAATAGCCACTAAGACGTTCTGTGGACTTCGGGACACCTTGCAGTCGCTCCTCCAGCAGCCACTCCCCGCCGCCCCCTGCAAGGTAGCAGTGCATTGTTGGGCTGGGTCGCCCACATCTCCACCTCCCAGAGAGAGCTAATGAGTGGACTCCTGCCCCCACCTCCTTGCCCCAGTGCTTGGTTCAGGGATGGGCAGCAACCTGGGATTAGGCTAATCAGTGTATGGAACTCCCCTGGCCAGAGTGATTGGTTTAGGTTGGCCCAATCAGAGTGAAATGCAAGGCTTCTGTTCAATTGTTGGGGCATATAAATCCTCTCTCAGTGGATTGCATTCTGGGGGGATACAAGGCCTTGAACTGCTGCAGCTATGCTCCTACTCTGAGGGCACCTGCAAAGGCCAAGAAGTATAGAGCAATGGAGCTAGTGCCTTGATCAACCTGTGCCTGAAATCCACACCACTGCTGGACTTTCCACTTATATGAGCCAATCATGCCTTTTTGTTTAAATTGGTTTGCTTTGAGTTTTCTGGGTTCTTTTTTTTAAACTTGATCCTTTTATATATGTCCATGCAAATAAAGAGAGATTTAATTAAAATAAATATGATCCTGTTGACTAGTTTCTACTTGTGGATACAACCTTTGAGATTTAGAGACTCAGAAGGTGGGAATCCATCCATAGATAGAAAACTCCAGAGATCTCTGATCCCCCAAAACTAATAAAAATTCAGGACATATCTTCACATATGCGTTTTTCTGGAGAACAGGTCTGTAGCATTTGTCTTATTTGAAAGGGGTGTGTCTCCCCCAAAATTTATGGCCTCTAGCCTTACAGAGCTGTTGGCACTTTAGCATTGCCTGATACGCCTCCCTTCCCAGGTCCCCTGTCTGCTTCTAGCATCTGCTGACCTGCACATCCCCTGCCATCGTCATCTCTTCTACCCTCCAGCGTTAGCACATGAGTAACACGGGGAGGCTGGACCAAATGCTCGTTGAGACCCTTCCCTCTGTCATGCACCCTGAACCCCTGGCCATTCCCCACGGAAGCCCAGAGGATGTGAGAGGTGCCGTCGAGCCCAGCCTCGTCCCTCCCAGGGGCCCTCTGCCCCAGCCCCCAGCACTGGCGGGCCCTGCCCGCCCTCACCTGGAAGTACTGGTTCTCCTGCACGAGGCTCTCACTGGACAAAATCTTGTTGATGGTGATGCGCTTGCTGCTCATCCCGCCCAAGCCTGTGGGGGTCAGAGGACAGGGGACCGTCTAGCTCTAGGTACCAGCCTGGGTGTTCCCTTTTGCCAAGGCCCCCCAGCTTCTGGGCTAACTGCTGGAATGAGGGAGATGGAGCTGGCGAAAGGCTGGGACACAGGAGGACGACCCCGGAGGAAACCAGGCCCCCTCCGCCTGGGGAAGGCAGCACACACTCCTTTCTCCAGAGTTGGCCACATCGCCCGGGCCAGGCAAGGGGTGGTAACTGCCTTGCTCTCTCTCTGGCCGCGGGGTGGGGGTGGCACAAGGAGCCACCTGGGTCTCCCACCTGGAGCCTGCTTCTAAGGACGAGCAGCTGACCAGTGTGAGCGTGGCAGAAGCAGGATGCCCAGAGGTGTCGTCCTTCCGGTTTTCCAGACCTGCATCATGCTGGGCCCTGCCCTGTCCGCGTCTGCATCTGCCTCCTAGTCCATCGTGACGGCCCACGTGGCTTCTGGGCTGGTCAGTAAGACCTAAGGCTCCTCGAGCACCCACCACGTGGCAGGCACTCTTCCAGATGTCTTGCATGGCTTACCTCAGCAATCTTCCCCACATTTCTATGAGGCAGCTGCTAGCACCGAAGATGAGGAAACTGAGGCACAGAGAAGTTACATGACTTGCCCAGGGTCTCACAGCTAGTGGCGGAGCCTATATGCAGACCAGACAGTCTGATTCCAGAGTCTACACTATTAAGTGCTCTTTTTTGCCTGATCTGGGAAGAGCCTGCTCCTGGTCCATTGTGCTTCCCAGTCTCGTAGCTTGTCAGCGGTAAAGAGATTGGGGCTGCCACGCCCTGGACCCGAGCTGTCCCCACACCACCACTTGGACCTATGGGTACAAAGATAATGGCTCCTATATCCTAGGGGCAGCTTTGGGGGTATCTTTAATATAGAAAGAAGCCTCCAGAAGTCAAGACTCAGACCTGCCAATCCAAGAAAAATTTTCCCATCAGTGGGGAACTAAAAAAGGACGGTGGTCTTCAGTTGGTCCTGTCTGTCCCAGACACCAGTCACTATAGAGGATGCCGCCTTTGGGGACAGACGGCGGTAACGTATGCATCAACCAGCCTGAGGAACGCAGGCTTTGGGAGGGAGCTAGACTGGAGATACTAATCTGAAAAGTGACAAAAAAACAATGTGAGAAAAACATAAGAAATTGTCACGGCCTCTCCAACCGGGCTCACTGTCTCCACCTGATTGGCTGTCCCTCTTTCCATGATTAATTGACGAGCAAACCTCAGCCCAGTCCACATCGGCCCCGATTACATGGGCATCTAAATTAGCAGATGATTTCTCACGGTGGGACTGGGAGTGACGCTGTCTGACTGTATATTGTGTCTGTCGACTCCCCCTTTTCTTCCTGTCCCTAAACGGCATTATGTGTATTTTCCTCTATCTCCTTTCTAAATCACAAGTTCCTTGAAGGCAGATCACCCATCAGTTTTGAACCATTAACTCTCCTCTGGGACTGGTGCTATTTATAGGATGCGTGAGGTCCTGAAAAAGTACCTGGCACTGTTGACAACAATAAGAAGCAGTGGGCAGCTTGATGGTCCAGCTGACCATTGCGAGGGTCACGAGAGGCCAGGGCTGCTTCCCACCCGGAGCGGGCCAGACACCCAGGGAAGAGGAGCTGGGTGCCCCATCCTCCTGAGAGTCTCTCTGGGGGCTCAGGTCCCCACTCCTGCCAAGGCCCGGTGGGCACTCACCTTTGAACATGATGGACTCCCCATAGCCCTCTCTCTGCTTCTCTCGGAAGAGCTTGTAGCAGGCCGAGGTGCTGGCCATGAGCATCAGGAATTGCTGCAAGAGACCATCCAGAGGGACAATGTCAGCAGAGGGGAGCTGGCCAAGGAGCAGGAGGGACCCCTGCCCTGAGGACCCAGCGCCCTGTCTGCAAACCGTCTCAAGTCTCCCCACACTGAGTGGCAAAGGCTGCCTGGCAGGGCCTCTTTGTTTCAGAGAATATTTCTCACCCCTCCAGCTACAGAAATTCCTCCCCCTCAGCAATGCCGCCCAAAGCCGAGGCCAAGGTGCCCATGGACAGAGCGGAAGAGCTTCTCCAAGTTGCCAAGGGGCCAGGCCATTTGCACAAAATTTCCAGGGTATGAAGTTGCGACCATCCCTCTCATTTCAGAAAACGAAAGAACCTCTTTCCAGAGCCCTCGGCCCACGTCCAGTTCTCTCCAGAGTGTTATGGCCAATACAGTAGCCACCAGCCCCATGTGACCATCAGACCCTTGAATTGTGGCTAGTCTGAATTGAGGTGTGCCATAAGAGTCAAATACACACCAGATTTTGAAGACATAGTATGAAAAAAAGAATGTAAAATCTCTCGGTAATAATTTTTATATTGATTACATGTCGAAATGCTAATATTTTGGATGTATTAGGTTAAAAATTTTTGTGCCACAGCGACCACATACCAACCAGCTTCAGCCTACTTCCTTCTTCCTCAATGTGGTCTACTTCCTCTAGGTCTACCTTCTGCTGGGAAAGCCGGCAGTACCTGGGTTCTTCACTACCCTACTCACTCCAGTGTCTGGGTCCGCTCACCTTTGTCTCCGGGATGGGGACGAAGGTCATGAACTCGTCCACGTGGCCCACGGTCAGCCAGTCGGAGTAGAGCTCCACGGGCGCCTGCACCTGCTGGGCCTGCAGGAAGTCCCGCACCACCTTGGTCATCCTCCGACCGCCGGACCTGCGGCAGGATTGGGGAGGAGGCAGCTTTTCAGAAGGCTGTCCACCATGCCCGCCTCTCCAGAGGGCCTGCGGCCTCTGCAGTGTAGCCTGAACCCAGGTGGCATCGGCGGAGAAGTCACAGACAGAGCTGCAGCGCCCAGAGACCCTGGCACAGGCAGGAAGGCGTCTGAGCCCAAGGGCAAAGAGCGAGGTGTTAGCTGCAGCCACGGCCTGTGTGCAGGGCACAGAGCCCAGATCCAGCCCCTAAGGGTGCCAGCAGGTGTGAGGAGGCCAGCTTCTGTGCTCAGGGGTCCTGCCTGGACGGCTGGAGGGGGCTAAGGCACAAGCGTGGTTCCAAAATCTGCCCTTGGCCATGTGCTTCTTTGCTGTGTTAACTTCTACTCAACTAATCTTTAATCGGTTCAAGTGACACCTCCTCCAGGAAGCCCTTCCTAACTTCTAGACCCCCTGAGGTCATCAATTTCATTACCCTTAGAATAGAACCCAAGGTCCTTACAGTGGCCAACAAATTCCTCTCTGGTCTGACCACTGCCTGGCCTTCCTCCCTCACCTCCTCCCTTCTTCCCTGTTCTGTTTGCACCAGCCACGGACTAAACCTGTTACCACCCCAAGGCTCTGCCCTTGCTGTTCCCTCTATTTGGAATGCTCTTCCCCTCTGATCTTCCCATGGCTGCCTCCTCGTCGTCATCCAAGCCTCAATTCCACAGTCACTTCCTCAGAGCCACCGAAGCGAACGTGCCCCGGCCCCTCGCTCCCCATCAGGGAACACTATTCATCCTCTCCATTGCACTCGACGCCCGGAAGTACTGTATTTACTTGCTCGCTTCCATGTTTACTTTCTGTACTCGCCCTACCCCTAACTGGAAACTCCCCGAGAGCCGGGACCTTGTGTCCCCAGAGCCTAGAACAATGCCTGACTCAGAGAAGGCCCCCCATAAAGATTCATCTCTAAGAAGCCCTCCCGAACTCCCAAGGGGGTTCCCTCCTTGGGATCCCCTGGCCCCTGTCACTCTTTCTATTGCCGTATGCCCCCATGTTTCATGTCTGTGATCTCCACCACCTCCTTGAAGGCAGGGGCTGGACTTCATGTCAGGAACCCTATGCCCGACATGGGGCTTGGCACTTGGCTGGTGCCTGGGAAGTACCTGCTGAATGGATGGGCGACTGTTGAGTGGAGGGAGAAGGCGGGAGGGTGAGCAAACGGTCACACTGCCTGTGCCAATGGCCTCCTCCTAGAAGGCAGAGCATCTCATGTGGCTCACAGGGACTTGGGGCCCAAATCCTGGCTGATCCCATACATGCAGGTTCCTGGCAGCCCTTTTGTGAAGTGAGGACCCACAGTACTCACTCTCTCTCCAGGACTGCCCTAACTAAGGAAGAATCTACCTTTCCATTGATTGGTGGGTCACCTGGGGAGAGAGTGAGGGTGTTGTGGACAGGCCAGGGAGCAGGGACGTATGCCTCTGGGGCAAGGCCATGTCTTCTCAGGCCTCTTCATGTATGGGCACCGTGAGGATTTGTCAGTGTGCTCCCGCTCATCTTCTTTCAGTATTTCTTCTCTGGACTCCTTCATCCCTTCCCAACCTGGTGTATAATCTCATTATATAACACCCCTCCCCCCCCCATTTTGGGAAGACAGTTATTTACTTAGTTTTATATTAGACCCTAATTCATACTAAGATGTAAAGACTAACTTGGTTTGCTTTCCAAGAGTGTCTGTATCTTATCAGAGAGTTGTGGGAGCGGTTACCTTTCCCAGCTAATCGTTCCATGTATGAGTAACCCAGGCCACTTCAAGATAAACAGTAACCTCCCTGCCCCACCGTCCCCAGCCACACCCGGGCTTCTCTTACAGAGGAAAGCTGCTCCCGATGAGGATCCGGCCCAGGGGGTATCTCTTGCCGTTCACGGTCACTGGGGGACTGACCTCCAGGTTCCCAAAAGAATCAAGGCTGGTGACAGTCTCAAAGAGGGGCTCCCGGGTCACATAGCCGAAATCTGGGCCCTGGGCAGGGGGCACACACCCGTCATTAGTCTCCTGCAGCCAGGAGTCCTCAGCACCAACCCAGCCACCCTCTGATGCCCACTCTTTCACCACCTCCGGTCTGGTACTGCAGGCACTTAGCCCCTGGAGGGGTCCTCCATGGTCGTCTTATTCCCACCGAAGACCAGGGGTCTGGCACAGGGGGGCCAAGTTCATGAGCACCTTGGTGGGAGGGTGGGCGTGAATAGGAGAATATGAGCATGTATGAGTGTGTGTGTGCACCCCTGGGTCTCTGCCTGTGCCTCAAACACAGAGTGATATTGGTGATCTCAGGATTAGTCCTCACTTTGTGCCATGTCCCTGCTCATCTCTTAATTTCTCGGACCCTCAGTTTCCCCATCTGTAAAAGAGGTGTTGGATTAGGTGACGTGAGGCAAGCAGCAGACCGTATCATTGTTCCCGGAGACTTGTCACCCCCCTTCCCAGTAAGAGGATTTTGCACCCGGAGCCATTGCTGTGTGACTTCTGGCATCTCCCTGTGGAAGGAATATACGCCCCCACCCATGTCAGACTTGGTCATGTGACTTGCTTTGGCCAATGAAACGTGAGCAGAAGTGACACATGCCAGTTCAGAGCAGAAGCCACAGGAGCCACTGTGTGTGCCTGCCCTCTCTCTGTCTCTTCCCCTGGGCGAGGAGAATGGCATTTCCCAGCCGGGGTTGCCCCTGCAGCCTGGGCGCTAGAATGAAGGCATGAGAAAGTAGAGCTGCAGAAAACCAACCAGCAGTCAACAGAGAGCGCAAGCGAGACATAGACCTTTGCTGTTGTCAGCCATTGACATCCGGGGGTTGTTTGTTACCACAGCCTTATCTAGAGGAAGCTGACCAGTACAGGCAGATAGGGACAAAATGCCACCCCAACCCATTCTCAATCAGCCGTATCGTTCACTGATCCCAGATGTAGCTCCAGAATCTTTCTTAGCACAGAGCTCCAACAGACTGGAGTTGGCAGATGATAAAACCCCAGTGACCCCCTGAATTTTAAGATTCTTTCTTTCACGATCTTTTGGCAAAAAAGTGGGGGCTGGCGTGGGAGCTTGCCTTGTGGCTGGAACTAAGCTTGCCTGACAAAAATCCTTGTTAACAAAGCCGTGGAGTGGGAAGACGTGGTTTGTCCTGGCCTAGCTGTGAGGCTCAGGGGACACCCGTGCCCGGTGGGGTGGACTCTGCAGCTTACTGCTTTCTCGCCTGGGAACCCCAGATGGCAAGGTGCGATTTGCTGGAGGCTGGGGCAGCTAGGGCTTTACGGCATCCCCCAGGCAAGCAGGCACAGCACCCAGACGGGCTTGGCCCCGGCCTCCAGGGACAACGCAGCTCGGTGCCTTGAAACCAGGCCAGCCCGGAACTCTGCAGGCGGACGGTGGTCCGGGCAGAGAGCGAGCAGAGTCTGGGAGGCCTCGGGTCTCATGCCTCTGGCAACCGCTGCTGGTGGCCGGTCACAGTGTTGGAGGAAGGGGACAGTCCTCCCTGAGGGTAGTGTCCAGGGCTGGGGACGGAAAACCGCAACAACAGCTGGTGGTGGTCATGGCATCAGTGCAGCACAGGTGCCTTATATCAGGCCCTCCATCCTCACAAGAGTCCTGGGAGGTGGGTACCGTTTCTATGCCCGTTTTACAGATGAGGAAACTGAGGCTTGAGGAGGTAAGTTGCTTGCCCAAGGTCACACTGCTGCTAAGGGGTGGAACCGGGACTCAGGGCCAGGTCAGTGGAACATTCCAGAGCTTTGCGCTCACATTGCTGGCTCTGCCATCTCCCTGTGATGAGGGGACTAGGTTCTTGAATGTTCTCAAGAAGCAGGTCTGAACCTGGCAGGGAGCCTCCGGGCGGCCCTGACGTCTTATGAGAGGCTGCCCTGTGTGTGACCTGGGGAAAGCCCAAACTACCCCCGTCTCTGCTTCTCGCTCTGTCCGAGCCTTGCTGGCCAGTTCAAGGTGGAAGGTGAGGGCAAGAGATTAATTTCCCTTCTGCCCTCACTCAGCCGGCTGTTGAGGGCATGAAAGGGGAGTGGTAATGGCCTCTAGGATTGGCATGGGGTTCCGATTGCGTTAAGAAAACCCCACAAGGCCAGCCCAGTGGTACAGCGGTTAAGTGCGCACGTTCCGCTTCAGTGGCCTGGGGTTCGCTGGTTTGGATCCCGGGTGCAGACATGGCACCGCTTGGCAAGCCATGCTGTGGCAGGTGTCCCACGTATAAAGTAGAGGAAGATGGGCACGGATGTTAGCTCAGGGCCAGTCTTCCTCAGCAAAAAGAGGAGGATTGGCAGCCGATGTTAGCTCAGGGCTAATCTTCCTCAAAAAAGAAAAGAAAAAGAAAACCCCATGAACTGAAACTCAGCTTTAATGACCCTTGAAGCTGGAACCCAGATTTTTGACAATTGCTTAACTATAATTTCCTCTTTGAAACTTACTTTGCTGCAAGTTGGAGGTGGAGCAGCGGCAGGAACCAGGCCCCCGCCCTGCCTCTGTCTCCCACAGTTCCATTTCCCACGAGAAAACTATCCATGTTTTGGAAAAACGTCCGTTATCAGAGCAGAAAAGGACCTTAGAGGTCACCATCCCACCTGACCCACTGAGCAGATGAGAAGACGGAGGCCCCGGCAGCAGACTTATTTGTCGAGGGGGCCCAAGGTCTCCAGACCACTCTGGCACGTTGGGAGTCCCCAGCATCGTGCCCCCAGCCCCGCCCCAGGGTGGCCCTCAGCATCTCACCAGGAGTTGCTTCACTGGGAAGTCCTTCAGGTTTCCATCTCGGGGGGAGTCCAGCACCACGGGGAAGCCTTTATGGGGGGCCTCGATGTAGCCAAACTCAATTTCATCCTGTGAGGACACCAAGGACAGCCAGCCATCAGAGGAGCCCAGGGACCCCAGGGGATACCAGCCGGCCTCCTCAATTCCCCTTCCCATGAGCAAGCAACGACCGTGGTTTCTCACACATCCTTCCACACAGAGTCTCTGCACATCCCAAGCGCAGCTGCGCTCATATCCACCCCATTTTTAAAAACCTAATGGGTAACATCCCGTGTGCATTTCCTGCAGGTAACACCTTAACTTGAAGCGCATTCTGTATTTATAGGTTGGCTTCATTCTTTTTAGCTGCTGTATAGTACTCCACGGTGGGGCTGAGCCCTCAACGTGGTTACCTAGTCCCCCACGGATGGACAGCTAGGTTGTTTTACAGTCTTTTGTCCTACAAGAAGTAATCCTGCAGGAACGGCTTGCTACAGCCGTGCCTCTGTGCCCAAGAGCACAGGTGATGCGACAGCAGGATTCCCATCCTCGGAGCTGCTGGCGGCCAGGATACTGACGTCAAGCCAGCTCTTCCTGCCTGCCCCCTGGCCGCGTCCTGCCCAGCCCCGGGGTCCTCACCTGGATCCAGCGGTCGCCTCGGTTCATGTACTGGAAGCAAACCTTCAGTTCACAGTTGGTTTTCTCAACCAGGTTCTTCACCTCTTTGAGGAACAGGTAATTGTCCTTCATGCTGAGAAGTTTGGGGAAGAGGGGATGGCCAGGAGGAAGGGTGAGGAGGGACGAGGGCCAGCCCACTGAGGTGGTGACAGCAGCTGGCTGTGCCTGGCAGAGGAGGCCACATCTGTGCTCACAGACACCTTTGCAAAGGCCACTGGAGCCAAGGGCCAAGCAAACTCAGCCACCCACGTGGTGTTTGCCAAGGTCATGAACAAATAGAACGAGGAGGGGAACTCTCACCCCCACCTGCCCCCCAACATTACATCTCTGACTCCCCAGATTTCCAAAGAGGAGTCCTGCCTAGCATGGAGGCAGGGGACGGGCCCGGGACCTCAAGGATCCCTTCCGGTGCGGCCAGCATCCACCTGCAGGCACTTCTTCTCGTCTCGCTGTGGCTGTCTAGCACATAACAGGTGCTCGATAAAAAACTGCTGAATGAATGAGATGAGCTGACTATGCATTGCTTAGGAGGCCCATACCAGCTACACGGTATGGGCCAAGAATGAGAACAGAAACGGTAGCTATTATTTTTAGAGCCCACACTCGGTGCCAGGACTTTGGATTAATACTTTGCCTGTTTCATCTCATTTAGTCCTCACAGTGACTCCGTGATGTCAGCATTTCAGAGAAACGGAGGCACAGAGAGGCCAAGTGAGTTGCTCAAAGTCACACAGCTGGTGAGTGACAGAGCCGGGATCCGAACTCAGGTCTGTTTGCCCCTGAAGCCCCAGCTCTTGGCCATTCTGCCACACTGCCTCTGCACCACGGCCACCGCTTACCAGCACACAAACACTGACACGGGAGGCAGGATGTTGGGGGTCATGATCCATGGAGCAATCCGGAACAGCACGGTGTCCGTGAAGATGGGTGTCAGCGGAATCCCCTGGGCATGGGAGAGAAGGACAGGGGATCAGAAAGTCTTGTCAGGGTGTTTTTCACGCCTGTCTCCCAAAGTGCATGAAACTGACAACAACGGGACACTTATTGAGCACTGACTGTATGCCAGGCCCCGAGGTAACTATTTTTTTGACATGCGTCAATTCATTTCCACCTCACAACAACCCCGGGGGGTAGATGCTATTATAATCCTTGTTTTACAGATGGGGAAATTTTGTCACAGACCTCTGAGTCACAGAGCTGTTATGGAGCCATCCAAGGGCACCTGGCAGGGCCGGGATTAAACCCAGGTGGTCTGGCCTCTGAGCCCCCACTCTTCACCACTGTCTGGTCCTGCCCCGTCCAAGCTCTCTTCTTAAAATCAGCCCATGATGGCTGGGCCTTTTGAGTCTCTGTGGTGCCCGCTGGAGGGGCCGGTCTGAGAGCCCCTGATGGCCAGGCTGCTCCAGGCACCGGCAGGAGCAGGAGAGGCCCCTCCCCACCCTGGCCTGTTAGCTCCGCCCCTCCTGCCTGGTCCTCTTCCCAGGGACCTGAAGGTGCTTTGTGAATGTCTTGATGTTCACAGCCACCCTGGGAAGCAGGAGCTTTGTCATTTCTGTTTACAGGTGGAGAAACAGGGCACAGGGAGTAAACCCACTCGCCCAGTCTCATGTGCTTGAACCTGCGCCGTCCGACACCAGAGCCCATTCTCGGAAATCTCAGCCAGGCCCAGCCTCACCCTTCTCAGTGTGGGTGGTGGGGGGCATCTAGGTCTCCAAGCCTGGGCCCCCCTCGGTGCTGTGAGGGGGGGGCCTGGAGTTGCCCTCCGGAAGGAGCCCCGCCTCGGCCCCTGGGGCAGCCCCCCGTGGTGGAGGCCTGGGGCTCTCACCTCGGCCATATACTCCAGCAGGCTGACGTGGATGTTGACCAGGCCGGAGAAGCCCTCGTCGGGGAATCGCAGGCCTTCCACGAAGAACAGCAGCTCCGCGGAGCCGCCCGTGTACTTGACCACGTGGTAGAGCTTCCGCCGGCCCAGGATGTGGATGTAACGCTGGCCGAAAAACGGGTCTGGTGGGAGAAGGACCAGCGTGAGGGCCCCACCCCCACCAGGAGGAGGTCAGTGGGGCCGGGTCACTGATGGGGACGAGACAGCAGAGTAAGCTGGCCTCCAGACACAGAAAAGCAGAAGCAGAAAATGCCCCCAGCAGGGCCGTGGCTTGGTCATCGTCCCAGTACCGCTGTGCACTAGCCGTGGGACCCTGAACCAGACCACCTCTTGGGCTTCTGGCTTCCTCATCGATAAGAGGAGCTAACTCGCCCGGGAACCACAGACATGAAATGATAACAGGTGGTGCTGACTGAGCAGCTAGTGATGTCGGGGGACGATATTATTGTTCCAGTTTTATGCATGAGGAAACCGAGTCTCAGAAGGGAGAAATGCTTTGTCCCCGGTCAAACAGCCAGTAAGTGACCGAACTGGGACTCAAATTCGTGTCTAATCTGAACCCCAAGCCCCCTCCACTTTATATAGATAAAATATCAATATGCCCACTTGTACCAAAAATTCCCCTCCGTCTGATGGAAGCCATGTTGGCGTCAGACCCACACTTGGATTTCTGGCTGGACGTTTTCGAGCTGGGAGGAAAGGCGGGTCTCCAGCGCTCCTGCCCCACTGAAGCCTCCCAGCTCTTCACAGAGCTGTTCCCTCTGCTGGGGACAGTCGTCTCCCTTCTTCTTTCAGGCGTTGGTTTTGTCACTTCTGGGCATCGTTCCCGGATGCCTCAGAGACCAAGCCAGGGGCCCGTTCTCCACCATCACAGCCTTTGTAAACGGTGTGATCTCAGTGTTTAGCTGTTGGCCCCAAGAGCCTGTCACCTTCGTGGGGGCAGAGACAGGCCCAGATGGGCCCAGTGCTGGCCCGGCAGGTGGTCGTGTTTAATGAATCTACCGGATGGACCAATGGCTCCCACGCCACTCCCTGTAAGAGAATTTTCAGGCCAATTCAGAGCACACGTATTGAATTACTACTCTGTGGCCAGCAGGGGCGAAGACCTTTGGGGGAGACAGAGATGGTCAAGAGGCAGCATCTCTGTCTGTCCGGGAGCAGTGCTCCGCCGATGGTAAGACAGCGCAGATGTGGGAAGTGTCATAACAGAGCCACAAGGTGAGCTTACTGGGGTGAGGGAGAGGCTGCAGGGCGGGAAGCGTTTGAGCGGAGGAGGGTGGCCATGGAGAGGCCCCTGGGCAGGGAGGCGGGCTGCAGTGAGCAGCAAGATGCTTGCATTGGCAAAGCCATCGATCGAGGTAGGACCCTATGCAGTCCAGAAGGAGTTGCTTTACGCCCTGCCGAGTGGGAAGGGCAGAGTCAGGCTCAGCGCAGAACTATTGTCTACAACAACAGTGATGGTTAGTGACCAGTTGCTCAGGGTTAGAACATACGACCAGAACAGTCCTGGCACAAATAGGGGGCTTGATTAAAACTTGCAAAATGAATGGAGGAACCACGGAAGCCCAGGCTCAGGATGGCTCCTCATGTAGGACAATGAACTCAACTAGACTCTGGTTCTATATCTCAGTGAGGGGGGTTACCTTTGTGGTTATGACTTCCAGAGTCAGAGAGACCTGGGTTCAAACACTGCTCTGGCTTTATAAACTATGAAATGTCAGGAAATTCACTTAACCTCCCTGAGCCTCAGTTTACTCATCTGTTAAATGGGGGATAATAATATTATGTCACAGTGTCATTGCGAGATAAAACGGCAGCATCCATAACTTAGTATAAACTCGGTAACCATGGGTAACCATCAGGAACAGCTGGGACCTGTTGGTATTACTCTTACGAGAGCCCTTGAATGAGTCAGGACCCCTTACTGGAAAACGCATGACCTTTTCATTGAATGGCTTATGAATAGAAGGCAAAGAAATAACACCTCACCCCGCCTTCCCTGGGGTGGGCCCAAGAAATGGGGCGCACAGACTCAGACGCTGGATGTCCCAAGGAACTCATCACAGCCCGATGAGCAAGGTGAGGTCCTTCTCACTCAGAAACGACAGCGTGCTCCCTGTGTCCCCATCACTGAGTACCTCCAAATGGATCTGTGTAATTAAAAATTCTCCCCCAGGCGCTCAGGGCCTCCCACGCCCACACGCCCCAGGCTGCACTTGAACTGATGCTCAGGACCTAGACGCCCACCTGTCTTTGCAGAACGCTCCAAAGCTTTCCCAGGGCTCCGGGCAGCCGGGAGGGCCCACCAGGGCCTGGGGAGGAGAGGGCTCTGGCCAGGGGAGCTGATCAGGTAGAAGGACACGTTCTTATCCACCTGCCTGCAGTTTCCTCCCTCTTGTGGCCCGCAGTTTACATGTGTCTCTCTTTCTAGGGGCTTGAGCCAGCTCCAGGCAGATTGATTCCTTGGTGGGAACAATCCCGCCACTGTCCGGAGGAGCCTCCTCCCTCTGTCCCCGTCCCCAGTTCGGTGCAGGCCTGCCGGCTCTCCTCGTGGGAACCAACAATGCCCCTCTATTGTGCGGCTCACGTGCCTCAGGCTGGGCCCGGCAGCCACCCTGCCCTCTCCTTAGACCCAGGCATTGGCCCTGCCGGCCAGCACGTGGTCTGGTTTGGCATAACCCTTCTGGTCACTGTGTTGCCATTCCATCTCCCAAGGAGACTCCACGAAAGGGTGACCAACTGTCCTGTTTTGCTAGGGACCGAGGGGTTTCCTGGGATGAGGGATTTTCAGTGCTAAAGCCGGGAAAGCCATGGGAAAACTGGGACAAGCTGGTCACTGTATCCTTGTAGGAAGAGGTCAGGCCTCAACTTTGTGGTCCTGAGGCAGAATCTGAGGCTGGAGCACAGACACCTGGATCTTCCTAATAGCACTGGGGACTTCTGTCACTTCAATGATTATAATTAAGAATCATCATAATCATCCCAACAAAAGCAACAAGTGCCATCCATGGTGAGCGTTCCACAGGCTGGCTACTGTGCTGAGTGCCCGGCACGTGTTCCTCATTTAATCCCCATCACCGAGGGGACAGTCAGGCATCCCGTTGTCCCCACGTCTCATCACAGGTGAGGAACCCAAGGAACGGGCTGGTGGGTGGACCTGTCCAGATCCAGGATTTGAACCTCCTGGGCTCCAGAGCTCCTTCTCGGGGTCCCTTGGCCCCCAGCCCAGTCCCCTGCCCTTGGGGGACACAGGTGACATATGACATTCGTGTAACATGACACATTCTTATCCACAGGTGTACTTGGATTTTGACAAAACCTCAAAATATTTGCATAGAAGAAAAGGAAGAAAAGGAAACTGTGCCCCAGGTCGATTATTTTTCATGCTGTTCTGTCGTGTTGTGCAGAACGTTCACCCAGGATGCCATATTTGCTGGGAAACTGGCTACTCTGGGGTCATCGCTGTGTCAGTGACATGCCGCCCTCCCCCGACCCGGCAGGATGCAGCCCAGATAAGCCAGCCTGGGGACCGCTTTCAAAGCGCTTGCAGTGTGGTTCCTCTGTTTCTTATCTGCTCAGGACCCACAGCAAGTGATGGGGAGGGATGCGATTACGGGGCCAGATCTCAATCCACTGCCAGCAACCAAAGAACCCTCTAGATAATGTCCAGGCATCACTATTGGCCACACATTGTGTGTCACAATTTGCTGCCATGGTCGGGAAGCTCAGGTGGAGGGCCTGCCTAGCAGCCCTGCCCTCTGGGGCACCCCTGGCCTGGCTGGGGTAAATATCACACCTCTGGCCCCCTGGGGCAGAGGAACCAGCCCAACTCTGGGGACATTCCAACCTGCCTGAGGTCACCGCCCAAGTCCAGGGTGGATCAGAAGGAGGACAGGCTTCGAGTGGCAGCGGTTCACTGCTGTCCTGGCTAAACAGCTCCCTAGGTGAGGGTCTGGGGCCCCTGTGGCTGGCTCCTCAGGGCGACTGGCCTGGTTTTCATGGGCTGTCCAGAGGTGGCCCTGGAGCTCGGCCAGAGATGGGCCCCCCAGACAGCTGGGCATCTGGGGGAGCCCCACCCTGCTCCACAGCAAATTGCAAAGCTAACAGTTCTGCTGAGAGAGCTGTTACTCCTAATACATAAATCAGACCTTGACAGTCCCTTGCTTAAAACCCTCTAGTGGCTTTCCACCGCACTGGGAATAAAATCCAAGCCGTCTCTGCACGCCCTGGCCCCGGCCCCGTTCGCTGACATTGACTCCAACTCGTCTCCCTGCTCTTGTCTTCCTTCTGCTCCTCCAATACTCCAAGCTGGGTCCCTCCTCCGTGCTTTGTACGTGCTGTTCCCTCTGCCTAGAACTCTCTTCCCTGAGCTCATGCATGCCTGGTTCCTTCTCATTGTTGGTTTGGGTCTCAGCTCAGACGTCACCTGCTCAGAGAGGCCTTTGGGGACAGCCAGGCAGTGGTGTGTCGCCTCTACCCCTGCCATTGTCCAGTACTCAGCCTGTGTCATTTCCTCTAATTTGCTTCTTACTAGGTCTCCCTCCGAGACCGTCGCCCCCCTGGGGGGCAGGGTGTGAGAGCTCACTGTGGGGACCCCAGTGCTGGGGACAGCACGGGGCACTGGGGGCTCAGCATGCATTGACAGGAAGAATGAGACAGAGCAGGTGGCTGCGAGGACTAGCGCCCTGGTGGAAGCACTTTTCGTGCAGTGGGGCCAGGATGCCCCGTCACATCGAGAGGAGCAAGGCGTCACCTCCTCGAGGGTGCCCACAGCACCGCCAGGGCGCAGCTCTCAGCTCCAGAATGTCTGAGACGGGCAGAAAACACCTGGGGCGGGGGCTACCTGCCTCAGGGATCAGGAAGGCGACATGACTCCAGAAAGACGAACCTCAAAAGCCCTCCTGCCCTGGTTCATGGGGAAGAAGGGCCTCCGGGTTCTACAGAAACCCACATCACTACCCACTCCTTTGAGGGAGGAGAGATCTATGCTGGGGCCTCTTGACGTCCCAGGACAACGGCGGTCCGGTTACTAAGAGGCCAGTCCTGGCCCCGTGCAGGCACCTACGCCTGCACCTGCCAAGGGAGCATTAGCGGGAGAGCCGGGCCCAGCGGGCGAGCCCAGTGAGTGCTGGTTGGGTCGGAGCCGCGAGAAGGAAGGGCTGGGCTGGGCTCACTCACTCTCCACGTAGAACACGCCCACTTTGTCCGAGTCCGACATGGAAATGTAGAGAACTATCTCGTATCCGGCGGGGAGGTGCTCCGGGCCTTTGGTCCTCAGGATCATCTGGGACATGTCCTTGAGGTCTGCGGGGCGGAGGCACGAGGAGGTTAGAATTAAGAGACTCGTGGCCGGCATGTGGGCTTACAAATGCCTGTGACTTTTATAATCAAGGCAAAGAAAACCCCACACACCTGTATTATGGAAACCTTAGAAAAGCATAAAAACCGGTTGTCAACTCCGACACCAAAACTGACTTCCTATAACCTTTTGGGAATTTCCTTCCAGTCCTTTTTCCATGTACGTGTCACTTCTGAAAAAACATGGCTCCAACTGAACCATATTAATAGTTTCGTCTTCTGTTTTTAGCAAGAGTGGATATTTGAGTCCACCATTCCCAGGAGACCCAGGGTCACTCCTGCCGCCCCCTCAGCCCGGCCCAGGACTTAGCCGGAGTGTTTCCATTGCTGCTCCCCGCCCCCTGCCCTGGTGCGGTCCTGCTGGCACCTTCCTTGCTGTAGGCCTTCTGGTCGTGGCAGTCCTCCTTGGGCAACCAGGGCGTGTCGCGGTCACAGTTCACCAGCAGGATGGCCCCCTGGCCCTCAGGGCCCCAGGTCCAGGATGCCTGCGTTGGCAAGGAGAGAGGTCAAAGCCCTCTTCCCCACCTTTTGGCAGTTACTCCCAGCCCCAGTGCAGACGCCACAGGCCACCAGAGAGACAGCCCCAGGACGAGAATAAAGAGCAGCCACCAGCCATAGTGGCAGCTGTGACCTGGCAAACATGAGTCCCACGTCTGATGCCTGCAGAGGGTCAGTGGAAGCACCCAAGGCAAGCTCAGGAGGGGGACGGTGGCAGAGAGACAGACAGGAAGGCTGACCGGGCATTCTCTTGCCCAGCGTGCCTGCGCCTGGAGGCGGGTGGGGGCAGGGGGATGGAGGGTGGCCAGAGCCACGAGCAGGCAGTCATTCTCCGACAGGCTCTCAAGTCTCCAGAGGGGTGCGGGGTGGGACGCCCGATGGACAGACACCCAGCTGTTATCAGACATGCTCTGAGTGCTCCAAATGGATCTGCAAGGGATCCGTTTTCTACATTGCAGCCAGAGCAACGTTAGAACGACTCCAACCAGATCACGTTGCTTTCCTGTTTTAAGCCCCGTCAGGGGCTCCAGTTGACTTAGGATAAAGCCCAAGTCCTCACTGTGGCCTGCAAGGCCCCATGCGACCTGCCCACCTCTCCACCTGCCCCTCCCATCCCCCTCGCTCACTCTGCTCCCCCCACACTGGCCACCTTTCTGCTCCCCAGAGACTCCGAGCTCTCAGGCCCTCGCCTGTGCTGGTCCCACTGCCTGAAGGCTTCCTGCCTCCCTTTACCTGGCCGACTCCCCTCCTCCTTCCGGCCCCTTCTTCCCCGAGGCCTCTCTGATTCTCCAGACCAGAGCAGCTTCCCTAGGCTTACACTTACAGCACTGTGCACGTTCTTTTTGGGGCAGACTTAGGATAATTGTAATGAAACAGCCACCCATGTCATTCTTTATGTAACATGGGTCCCCCCACAGGACTGTGGGCTCCCTGAGGGCAGGAGCTGCATTTTTCTGGTTCTTTCTGCATCCCCAGGGCCTGCATCCCCAGGAGATGCTCAACAAATATTTATGGGATGAAGGAAGAGAATATGCAACTTCACTGGCCCAGAGGGAGAAAGTCTGGGCAAGTTCAGGCCCACAGGGACTGTGTGACTTTGCCAAGGCTGCAGAGCTCCTCAGGGGAGGGCGGACGTCTCAGAGGCCTCCATGGAGGCTATTGTTACGTGGCTTGGCCAGGAACACAGAGAACATATGTGCGGGTCTGACTCAGCTTCTGCTTGCAGCCAGCTGCCTAGGGGAAGCAGGGCTGGGGCAGAGCCCCACTGAGGAGCCTGAGAAGGGGCTCCCCAATAGGCCTGAGGCCCCCCCGGTGACGCGGAGAGAGGCTGGGGCCGGCTGCTAGGCTCCAGGCTTCTCACTGGGCTGTGTTTAACTTTTTAAAGTATCCATCAACATGTAATTTAAACCAGGCTTTAGATTGTTATTATAAAAGTAACATATGCCCACAGCAAAGATTGAAGTGATATAGAAGGGCAGGAAATGGAAAATAGAAGCAACAGCCTGGACGTACACAGAGCAAAACCAATGGAGCTTAAAAACCAGGTCGAGGGAAAAGTATGAAACAGAATGAGAGGGAGAACGCAATGCTCTCTGCACAGTGAAAAAGCCATGCGTACCGGCCACACCGCGTGTTTGGCAAGAATCGCAAGACCAGAAAGAGACACATTAAACCATTTGAATGGTCCATTGTGGGGGAGCAGAACCGGAGTGGGGAATGCAGGATAAAAGTGAATGAATGAATGAATGAACCGTGCACGCACCATTAAAGATAACACGCCTTGAACCGAGAGGGTTACTGCAACCTTCTACTTCTGATGGTCTCCCTGACTCGGTTTTAAAATTTAAAAAAAAAAGGGCAAAATAATAAGAGCAAATGCTTTGGCAGCACTTCCTCCGTGGCAGGATGTTTGTTCTTCCCAAGAACTCTACAAACGGGGGTGGATGGGGAGACCCGGCAGGCTGCGCCACGGCTGTTCCCGCAAGGAGCGTGGCTCCTCTGCTCTGTCCTCGGTGTGCTGTGTGTCTGGGGGCCTGTCTCCGGCCTCAGCCTCCTATCTGTAGATGAGAGTGGTCTCTGCTTGCTGGGAGCACCATGGCTGCTTGCAGATCCAGCCTGGGGCTCTGCCCCCGAAGCCCCCTGCTCGGGGCTGTCTGCCCTGGTAGCTAGGTACCTTATTCGGGTTGTTCTTCTCCACCACACCGTCCCGGTCCGCATCCACATCCAGGGAGATCTCTGGGGACAGACACACGGGTGAGTCGCTGAACCTGCCGGCTAGGGTGGGGCAGGGACAGGAGGACGACCTGACCTGTGCGATTCGGGTGCAGCTCACCCATTCGCTTGGTCCCTCGAGGCAGAGGGCCTTGCTGAGGTCATCTTGTCCAGCCCCCCGCCTCAGCACCCCAGTGGAGGACACGAGCAGGCAGGTGCAGATGGGAGAGGAGCTGTCAGGGAGGTCAGGGGTCTCCTGCCTCCTCACTGTTCCTCAGTCAATTCTGGGCGGGATGAGGCTCACTATACCGATCCGGGAGCCTCAGTTCAGAGAGGCCAAGTCACGTGCCCAGGGCCACACAGCTGGTGTCAGCAGAACTGGGGCGCACACTGCCCAGGGTCTGATTCGAAGTCCATAGTGGGAAAACTTTCATAGGATTCCCTAAGCGCCTTTCCCAGTCTGTGCTGGGCGTGCGTGCCGGGTGCATTTGTGTGTATCTCTCTTCCAGAACTCCTAGCGGTCCAGATCCCACCTCCAAGGACTGAGGGTTTACTTAGGGCAGGAAACTGAGTCTCCAAACCTTCTCGATCCAAGGGTACTGAGGGGCCAGGACACCACACAGAGGATCCAGGGCAGGGTCCCTGCTTATCCTCTTGGGGAAGGGACCTTCAGTACCCCTAGGCCTGCTGTGGGGACAGCCTTCATGGCAACTGTGTGGGGCAGTGAAACGAAGCCAAGATTTAGCATCAGCCAGTTTTGGTTCTCTGCTTACAAGCTGTGTGACTTTGGGCAGGTTAGACAGCCTCTCTGAGCCCCAGTTTCTTTACCTGCAAACTGGGGCCCTTTCCAGTTAGAGGAGTTGTACTAATTGCACAAATAGGCACTACTGACATTTGAGCCGGATACTTGTTTGTTGTGAGGCCGTCCTGTGCACTGTAGGATATTTAGCAGCATCCCTGGTCTCAACCCCCTGGATGCCAGTAACATCCCTGAGAGCAAAACTGCCCCTGAGTTAGAAACTAACAGGGTGGGGCAGGGGAATTGTTGGGAAGGTGATGGGAATGTCCCATAGAATGAGGTGAGCTGGGCCCAGGCCCCTGAACGGCCGGGTGGGCTCCGCCTCATGCTGAGCATGACTTGGACCAAGGTGGGAGCTGGGTGGGAATGAAGGCATTCCTGGTCAGTCCCCTGGGTAGGCACGGCTCTCCCTGGACCAGGTAGGGAGGAGGGTCCTGGCACAGGAAGGGCCCTGGTGTCACCCTTCCCTGGGCAGCTCACTCTGAGACTGGGGATTACATTCAAGTCTTCCCTCTGCCCACAGCCCAATTCCCTCCCAACCCTGAATGAGGTTTTTCTGGGTCTGGAAGGAGGCAGGAGGAAGAAGCTGTAAGGGCGCCTGGCCTTGGGAGAGGCAGCACTCCAGCGTCCCAGCCCCTGCAGCCCTGCTGTCAGCTAGGTGCTGTAGCGCGTAATGATGGAAACGCCTCCCACTGATCCCATTCACCCAGCCAATCTCTGTCGAGCATTTACTGGGTTCTAGGCACCGTGCTGGGCACAGGGACCTCGTGGCGGGCCACTGGGGACAGTGCCTGCTTGCAAGGAGTACCCAGTCCTATGAGATCAACATTGTTGTTCCCATTTTATAGGTAAGCAAACCCAGACTCAGAGATGCCACCTGTCAGGAAATTGGGCTGAAAATCTGGGAGGCTGGTGCAGGATAAGGATTCTAGGGAAAAGTGGCGAAGGCGGAACCACCAGCTGCTGTTAAAGAGGCTGAAGGCTCAGACGGAGGAACAATATTGGTTTTGGCCTCCAGACCTCCACGAAGTTTCCAGCTTCCTGAAGCTCCTCCCTGGGAACCAGCTGCAGACCCAGCCTCCTTAGGAGCCACTCTCTTTGCTTTTCAAGATAACAATCTCTCCTGGTTCTGGTCCACTTTGCCAGCTGCAGAGCATGCATGTTCTCCCTTCAATCATGCCAGGAGGGAGGAGTCACCACCCACCCAGCCGGCCCCACCGACAGATGGGGAAACCAAGGCGCTTAGCAGGGAAGTGACCATGAAGTCCCCAGAGAGTGCAGAGCTGGGCGTGGGCATCACCCTCCCTCTGACTCCAGACCCCTGCCCTTGACTGACCCAGGCTGACCTCCCTCTTGGGCTGTTTCCAAAAGCCAAACCCGCCTTCCAAGACCCACACTTGCTACCCTGAAAGTCATTCTCGGAGGAGCTGGCCACATGCCCATCCTGGCAGCCCTGTGGCCTTTGTCTCTAGGCTGCAAGGTGGCACCACGTCACGGCTCCTGTGGCATGTCCAGGGAAGCAGGGGGTCACAGGAGAGGGATTAGGAAGCACTTTATTGTGCTTTACTTCGTTACGAATTTCTTAAATTTAAAAATTTTATCAATGTGATATTTGCACATAGCATGCACAAAAAATCAAATAGGATCAAAAACAGTTTTTAAGGAAAAACACGCCTCCCCTTCAAGCCCTTGCCCTCACCTGCCAGAAGCAATCTCCCTAATCCTAAATAACATGCCTATTGCTCTTTCTTGATGTGTAAAATTCAGGTAAGTTTCACTGACCTCCCGTCATGCAATTGGGCCTTACTTAACTGGGCTCCCTGATCACCCACCTCCCAACCTTCCATGCGTTTCACGCTCCTCTCTTATGACCATCACTCATCGTCACAGTCAACTCAAACGACCTCCTCTCCTCGCCACCCTCCCTCGGAAACCCCCTCAAGCTCCAAGCCATCCCTGGAGGACTTCTCCCCTTCAAAGCTTCCCCCAGCGTCTCATCTGACTAGATCCCAACAGGATGATCCTGTAGGGATGGAGAACAGGGCTGGCGTGACCTGCCCCAAGCTTCGCCCTCCTGGGAGGCCCTGCCTTCCTGGGGAGGAGCAGGAGGACATCTGTTTCAGGGCCTCTGGGCTCCAGACGACATTTTCCCAGAGGCTCTGCTCTTACTTAGCTCCCGGAATAGCCCCAAGGTGTCAGGTGGCGCCTTGGGTGTGGGGCAGGTTAACGGGAAATGTCACTGGGATTGGGTTCAAAGCAGTCTGCCTGAGACTCTAGACACTGAAGGCTCAGCTTTGACACAGAGGCACAAGGAGTTTGGCTGGCTATGGACAAGGGCAGGGGGCCTGGCCTTCTTGCCCAACCGGGCAGCTTAGGGTGCGGTGGGGAGGAAGGACTCTCCCCCGACAGCCAACTAGGGCAATTATCCTAGGCTCTGGGGTGGGGGTTCAAGGAATGAGGTCCTTAGGTTGATTCAAGAAATTCTCAAAGCTCTGTGTGTGTACCGCTCCCGTTGCCAGATCCACAGCAGAGGGTGAAACTATTCCTTCCTCCCACTTTCCCCCTTAACGGGAGGGCTTTGCAAATCAGCCCTAATTAGCGTCTTGAAGGCCCCAGGGATCCATGAGCTCAAAACTCTCATTTTATAGCTGGGAAAAAGTGAGGTCTAGAGGCTGGCCTCGTGGCGCAGTTGTTAAGTTCGCACGTTCCGCTTCGGTGGCCCGGGGCTTGCTGGTTCGGATCCCAGGTGTGGACCTACATACCACTTGGCAAGCCACGCTGTGACAGGCATCCCACATATACAGTAGAGGAAGATGGATACAGATGTTAGCTCAGGGCCAGTCTTCCTCAGCAAAAAGAGGAAGATTGGCCGCAGATGTTAGCTCAGGGCTAATCTCCCTCAAAAAAGAAAGCAAGGTCTAGACAGGGTGGGCTACTTGTCAAGGTCACATGGCAAGTCCTTGGCAGGACTGGGATGAAGATCCAGGGCCTGATCTGGGCAAGGGCACCGTGGATGTGTTCCCAAATCCCAGGAGGAAGACAATAAGGTTCTTCAACTTCACCCAGGCAGAGAGAAAATGAGACTGTCCAAGAGGAAGGGAGGAAAGAAAAGAGAGCACCCACCCCACACCAGGCTCTTTGCATGCCCCGTCCTGTGAAATCCATGTCAGCACGTGCAAGACTGCACTGTGAACTCCATTTTGCAGATGAGGAAACTGAGGATCAGAAGGTCAATGGTCACAATGTGGCTGGAGGGGACAGAGCCAGAACTTCGCCTTATTTCTGTTTGCTCTGAAGCCAGGGCTCTTTCTGCTCGGCGGGGGCTCAGGACAGAACCAGGGCCAGATGGACTCGGACACGTCCTTGGGGGTAGCCCTGCCGTGTCGGGATGTTGACGGTCTGCCTGCCTCAGAGGTGCTGCCCCTCACTGATCCCTCAGGACTTGGGGCTCCAGGCCTCCTAGGTTAGATGCCTAAGGGAAGGTAAGACCTGGAGGGGTCAGACGGACCCATGGGTCCCGAGGGAAACCAGATTTTCACCAGGGTCCCTGATGGAACAGGAAACATAAGTTCAGTGGGGTGAGTTTTTATAAAGCTTTACTTCTGCAGTGTAGTTGACTGTCTTTTATTGAGATTATGCCCTGCCTACTTTTCAGATGTTAAAATGATGGTGATAATTGATGGCAAATTATTTTATTAATGTATTTTCTTTTTGACCAAGCATCAGAATTGTCAGGCTTATTATTTTTTTTTTTTCGGCAGGGGACATTTTGCTGGCCCACGGAATCTAAACGGCTGGGCCTCTTGGCAGTTAAATAAATAATCGTTCAGCGAAAGCACAGCCTCAGAACCTCCGAAGGATGAGCCTGGTCCTTCACGATGGGCGCACGGGGTACTTCTGGGGTCTCGGCCCTGCAGCTCCTCTGAGGCTTCCGCTGAGCCCAGCTTTACGGTCTTGTGGCGGAGAGGAGCGGTCCGGTCCTGCCTCCTCATGTGCACTATTTTGCCATCTATCTTAAGTCCGCCTAGCCTTGGTGGACGCCTCAGCAACGGTGTGGTCAGCCCTCTGAGATCACCCTCATCTGACAGGCCGCTGGCACTGCCCTTCCTGCTTATGTCCTCAGGTGTCCCTGTCCCTGTGGGATTAGGTTTCCTCAGGGATGGTCATCTGAGACAACTTGGAGACTCTGTGCGCATGTGAGGGTCACACACGTGCCAGCTCCCAGCTGCAACTCTGGGGCTTTGGTTTCCATCTCCCAAGGCCCCCCGAGGTTGTCTGAGGACCCCACCCCAGGCTGGGCCTCCCCTCAGCGCAGAGAGACGGACAGGGTGACCAGCAACCGAGCCCACTGGGGAGACAGCTATGAGGCAAAGAGCGCTGCTGTTGAGCCTATTTTGGGGCTAAAAGCACAGAGCTGGAGAAGGAGGTGCTGACTTGGGAACTGGCTGTTTTTTGGGGGGAGATCTGAGACCCCTGGAGAATGAGATAACTGAAGTGACTTGGGGTCCCACAGACCACTTCCGGGAGTGTGGTCTCAAGTTTTCATTTGTTTTACTTTTTATGAGCTTTGGTTTTCTCATCTGTAAAATGGAGCCATTCATAGTATCCATCCTCAGCGTAGTTTGCAGGAGCAGATTGAGGTCACGACAGTAAACATCCAGTATTGGAGCCAGGTACACCGTAGGTGCTCAATAATTGTCAGGTGTTCCTCCTCCTCGAAGCACGCAGCACAGTCCTGGATGCGGACGAGGTGCTGAACACGTGGGAGACGCCGCTGTCGTTCCTAAAGCATCAGCCCATCATTGACCCTCAATAACTGGTACTTCTCTCCCCCGCCATGTGGCAACTCTGCCAACGCGAAATTAAGGCTGGATGGACAAAAGGGCCCTCTGACATGTCCTCCTCGCTTAAATAGTATATGATTAAAGATTTAAAAAACGTGTAAAAGTAATACCTCAATTGCAGAAGAGTGGAGTCACGGAAGGTTCAAAACACTGCATCCCACGTGCCCTGGTACCCAGGACAGGGGAATGTGGTGCAGATGGAAAGAACCTGGGAGGGGTTCTTTCCTGAGTTCTGAACTCACTGCCACGGAGTGGCTGTGTGACTCTGAATGAGTTCCCTAACCTCTCTGGGCTTCACTGTCCTCATGAGTCAAATGAAGAGCTTGGACCAGGCACATTAAGGATCCAGGCTGCATCTCTGTGCCCCCACGGCTGGGTCTAGGGAGGGCAAGCAGGCTTTGTAGACAGGCCCTTTCTCTCACTAGGAGAGGCAGACTCTTCTCCAGGCTGCAGGGGAGAAGCAGACTTTGCCCTTTCTTGTCTGTGGCCCACAGAGCCTAGGATGGGGATGCTGATGCTGGGCTGGGTTGCTGGAAGAACGGGGCACGTCTCCTCCTGCAGGACATCCCTCCCCAGGACAGAAGGGCCTGGGCACGTGTGGCCTCCCTCCCCAGGCCTGCATTATTTAGAGGTAGCTCGAGTGCCAGGGCTGCAGCATTGAAAACAGCCCAAGTGCCACCGAGAAGGGCAGCAATGCCAGGCCCTGGGGAACAGAGGCACCCAGGCCACTGGCACGCCAACTCACCAATGGCCGTGAGGAAGAGCCCGGCCTGGTCGACGGGGGTATTCTCCTCCTCGTCATAGTAGTTGACGGTGACCTTGGTGGTGAGGCGCATTGGGAGGGAGAGAAGAGCAGAGAACACAGATCACGAGCAGGGAAATCTGAGGGGACCACCCTCCCTGCCTCATACCTCAGGCTGTAAGCCAACTCTCTCCAAACATCCAAACCCTCTCCTCCAGGAAGCACTCCTGGGTTGGCAGGCTGCTTCTCCCAGATTATTCAACTAGATAGGGGACTCCCCTCTTCTCAGACTGCATCCAGGGTGCCGACCACCTACGTGTGCCCCACCCCGTGCATTCTGCTGCCTGCGGGGGGCCCTCACATCTGCCATGGTGTATGCCGAGACCCGCTAAGGAGCCAGGGGGCAGGTCTGAAGTAGTTTTCTTTGGATAATGCTCAGTGCCGTCACTGCCATGGGGCACATGGGGAAATTCCTAGTCAGAGAACCCAGAGAAGTAAGTCTGGTCTCGGCCGCCCCACTCGGGCAAATCACTGTGTTGCTTGGGTGCCCAGCACCCCATCTATACACAGTGAGACCAAGGACATTTGTGGCTGTAACTTCGATCATTTGAATACTCCATCATTCAGCAGCCCACAGTTTTAAGCTTCCATGAAGCCATTATTTCATGGGCTAATGCTGAGCTGACTCATATGGTAGCCACCAGCCACAGGTGGCTTTTGAGCACTTGAAATGTGGCAAGTCCAAACTGAGATGCACTGTAACTGTGAAACGGACACCAGATTTAGACTCGGTATGAAATAAGAACGTACGCTATCTTGTTAACATTTTTTTATATTGATATGTCGAAATGATAATAAATTATTGAAATTAAATCCACCTGCTTCTTTTTGCTCTTTTAATGTGACTCCTACACAACTGACGATGACACGCGTGGCCCACATTCTGTTTCTATCAGACAGCGCTGCTCTAGCCTGGCTGGATTCCAGCGTGACCCCGGTTCCCGCAGCCCTCGGAGGCGGACGTCCCCGGCCATGGTACCTTGTCGCTGCTGGCCTCGGTGCTCGCCTGGCTCATGGTGAGCCGCAGCGTGGTGGTGGGTGAGAGAGGCCAGCGCTGTTTACCGTTGGTGACCACTTCCTCGGCCTGCCCGTCACGCACCACCTCCACCCGCACGCGCGCCGAGTGCTTCAGGCTGAAGGTCTGGGCCCCGGCTGGGGCTGCGCTGTAGGGAGAGAGGAGAGTCGGTCACGGGGGTCCCTGGGGCGGGTGAGGAGATCCTGGAAGGGCAAGGCTGCCAGGGCCCTCCCAGGTCGTCTGGGGGACCCTGAAGGACCCAGCTATACTGCAATCGCCTCGTAGCACAGAGGTACTTGTTAAAAATACAGTTTGCTTGGGCAATCGTGTACCAACTGAGTTAGAATGTTCAAGGGTGGGGCCTGGGGATCTGAATTCTTTTTTTTTTTTGGTACCTGCCTGCCTGTCTTCCTGTCTGTCTGTCTGTCTGTGGGGATCTGAGGCCCAGATGGAGCAATGAATTTGCTCTGAAAGTGGCACTGGGCCTGGAACCCTGTCTCTCAGGCCCGTCCATATCAGAGCTGGAGGCCAGCGGCAGGGCCCAAGCGCTGGGTGTCACAGGGATGGAGGCTGGAACCTGGGTCCTCAAGGAGAAGGGGTGGGCTGGCTTTGTCGTAAAGACACCTCCTTCCTGCCACAACATTCAGGGCTTGGAATTCCTCCCTCTGAGGGTCATTCCTGGGGTTCCGGAGTGGTTTTCTATTGAAAGGGAAATACTTTTGGAATTCTTGAGAAACCACCAAGATCTCAGGGCAGGAAATGAACTGGTTTGATCTCGTTGCTCTGGATTGAGTGTCTGTGTCCCCCAAATTCACCTATTGGAGCCCTAACGTCCGCTGGGACGGTATTTGAAGATGAGGCTTTGAGGAGATAAGTAAGGAAGTCATGAGAGCGAGGTCCTAATCTGATAGGAATGGTCGCCTTCCAAGGAGAGGAAGAGAGAGGGAAATCTCTCTCCATGCAGGGAGGGAGGCCACGTGCGCACACGGCGACAGGGCGGCTGGCTGCAGGCCGGGAAGAGACTCTCCCCAGAACCCAAGCATCCGGCTCCCTGACCTCAGACTTCCAGCCTCCAGAAGTGAGAGAAAGAAATGTCTGCTTTTAAACCACCCAGCCTATGGTATTCTGTTACAGCAGCTGGAGCTGCCTAAGACACCGGCTTCAGGCGGGTAACAGGAAGGACAGAGAGACGGGGGGCAAGGAGCCCAGGCCTGACAGCTTTTACAAGTCCAGCCCCCGGTCTGAAGGTTCCCAAAGGCCAAAGACAGCTCAGAGGATCTAGGTTGGACTCTCATGGGATTTGAGACTAAGACATAGCTACAAGTGTCGGGTGCTCCTGGGTTCCAGAAGCTTCTCCACTACAGTGGGTATCAGAATCATCAGGGAGTGTGTTTAAATCTTCAGATTTTTTTTTTAAGGGTACAGATTTGTGATTCGCATCCCTGGAGAGGCTGGCAGGACTGAGGCGCAGTGGGGGCAGCTGGAGATGCAAACAGTGGCCAGGGTTGAAGGAGAGCAGCGGCTCCCAAAGGTCAGCAGCAGCAGCAGCAACACCTGGAAGGCTCGTCTACACAGATGGCCGGGCCCCTCCTCGGAGTTCAGATTCAGGAGGGCTGGAGTGGGGCCTGAGAATGTGCATTTCTACCACGGTTCCAGGAGCTGTTGCTGCTGCCGGTCCAGGGGCTACATTTTGGGAAGCACCAGTCTAAGATGTTCAGCAGTGCAGTCTGGGAGTCAGAGCCCTGGGGTGGCCAAGGCCATGAGTGCGAGTCTGTAGAGGCCGCCAGGCATGCTCTCTCTGACCCAGGCCACAGACTGCGGGGGCTGCTGGCAAACAACACTGGTCTCGGGCACTGGCGGGAGAGAGTGGACACAGGTCTGGCAGCCCATGCCTGGTGCTTGGAAAGGAGCTTGAAAAAGAACTCCAGGGCCACTGTGTTTCTTATCTGTCTGTTGCCTTCTAAAGTCCTCAGCCTATCACGGGGACACGGGGCTGATCTGTGCCTGGACACTTGTTGGTCACAGCCTGCTGCCACTGTCCACATCCATCATTAGAAGTGCATCTAAAAAAACCCCAGGATTGGGGGTACATGTGCAAAAGATGGGGATTCCACCCCAATTTTGCCACTGACTCGCTGAGGGGGTCTTAAGTGTGCACCCTGTACCTTCTGAGTGCCCATGTGCTGACCTACAAAGACACAGGATGACCGCCCACCGCTCCTGTCCCACAGACCCCCTCTCTCATCCCTCATGGGGCAGGGGCTCATTTTGTCTCGTGGTGCTGCTTGGGGTGCCCAGACTCCTCTGTACCTTAAGCCCCGGAGGGCAGGTTCTTGCCTCTTCCACCCCTCCTCCCGCAGAGCCAAGCACAGGGCTGGGCACTCCCAGCCTCGAGGGTGGAGCTGAGCAGGACAAAAGGGAGCCTTTTAGAAGCGCCAGGCAGCATTTCCCAAAGGGAGGTGTGGGTACGCGCGTAAGATGCTTTTAGGTGGCACGTGGATGATTTACGTATTTATTCATGTGTTCTCTTTTTATGGCAATTGATAAGGGCTTGCCGTTTATGGTAATGATATAAGATCTCCAGTTAAAATAAAGTTATAAGAAAAATGTGAGTTGATTTAAAGAAAAACGTTAATAGTATTACAGGTCGAATACGGTTTTGGTAAAAATCACATGAGTCTGGGCAATCGTGGGCTCAGGTCTGGGAAACATCCTGCTAGTGAAAGTCTCAGCTTTGACCATCAACCTGCTGGGTGACCTTGAGCAAGGTGCTTCTCTCCCAGCTTCATCAAGTGACAAATGAGAGGATGGGACCACGTCAGAGTGGAGTTCAGAGAGTGCAGAGGGGGCAGACCCCGGGCCGAGGGGTGGAGAGGAGGCACTGAAAAGCTGGGGATCTCTCTGCTGGGTCCCTGCTCCCCTTTGTAGCCAGAAATCAGATGAAACTGTCATTTCATCTGATTTCATATATTGGGTTTCTGCACACAATTCTATTTAGAAAAAAATGCTTTACAATTTTCAAAGGGTGCGTCGGGTTTAGGACCCGACTCTGACAATCGATGCTGTAAGCGATGCTTCCCGCCACCTTCATTCCTCTGGACCAGTGAGACACTGGAGGAGGCCCCAGAGCCCAGAGGCTGGGGCGGGGTGGGTGGCTAACATTCAGCCGACATCAGAGCTACAGAGCCCCGCACCCTCCCACCACCCTCCCATCAGCCCTGCTCTGAGCTGAGCAAACAGCTATTCTTGGAGCGGCCCTGGCAGAAGCAACAAAGGCGTCCATTGTCCCCTGCAGATCCTGCTGGCTGCCTCCCTCCCCAGGACGAAGCTCTCAGAATCTCCCTAAGAAACCCGAGAGCCTCTGCTAGTACCTCTGTCATCCCCGGAGGCTGTGGGGAGGGGCCCAGGACGGTATTGAGGGAAAGAGAGTGGGGGTGTTGGTGGTGGTCATGAGCTCCTGCTTATGAGAAAGAGGCCAGAGATAGAGTGGGCGGAAGGACGGGCTGCCAGTTCCCGGGACCACGTCTGCTCTGCCCACCACTGTATCCCAGCACTCAGGACATGGCCATACTCAATACACACTTGGGGAATAAATGAATGAGGGAACCCACCCTTCTTGGTTTCCCAAACTGTATTACCAGAGTGATTTTTTCTTTTTTTTAAAGAAGTCAGATCACTTGTCTGCTTGAAAACCTTCAGGGGCTCCTCAGTGGCTATCCATATGGTGAAACCCAAACGCCTTAGCCTGGAGTCCACCCAGAGGCACTTAGCCACTGCATCTCAACTTGACTTTCTAGCCTCTCAACTCCTGCATCGTTCCATCTCACCATGCATTTTGCACATGCTGTTCCTTCTACCTCTCATACTTTTCCCTGACTTCTCTGCCTGGCAACTGTCCATCCCTACTAAGACCCAACTCAGTCGATTTGTCCCTGTGCTGACTTTCCCTTGGGGCAGTTGTCTCCTTGAAGGTAGGGACTGTCCTCTCTTCGTTTCGGCACCTGGCCTGTATAGGCACATGGTAAATATAAATGTTTGCTGCAGGAAGGGCTGGAAGAGGAGGGCTTGCTTATGGGCTTATTCATGCACTCAACACGTATTTATGGAGCACTCTCTACGAGCCAGGCACAGTTCTAGGGTATGGGGTAGATTGGCAAAAAAGACACCATGTTCCCTAGGCCCCTGGAGATGTATTCCAGTGGAAGAGATTGCACAGTTGGATTGCACAGTCAATCGTGAGACTACAGCTGTGATCATTGCTAGAAAGAAGAGGTATGGGGTGCCATGGGGCCCTGATCTGGGAGTCAAGGAAGGCTTCCTGGAGGAAGTGGCATTTGAGCTAAGGTCTAAACTTTACACTCTAAAGGACAGATGTGAATTAATCTGACCGTGGTTCTTAAATTTGAGTGTGCACCAGCATCCCCTGGAGGACCCATCAAAACTCAGGTGGTTGGTCCACCCCCGAGCTTCTCATTCAGCTGGGCCCGGGCCTGAGAAACTGAATTTCTTTCTTTTCCCTCCAACTTTATTGAGGAAAAATTGACAAAAATAATTGCATACATTCAAAGTGCACAGCATGAGGATTTGATACACATCGTGGAATGAAAATCTGTGTTGCTAACAGGCTCCCAGGCAGTGCAGCTGCTGCCGGTCCAGGGGCCACAGTTTGGGAAGCACTGAATTGGGCAGAGCGAGGAGGGGAGGAGGAGCAGGCGTTTCCAAGCAGCCAGGACGGTTTGCGTGGTGGCCCGAGGTGGACGTTAGCCCAGCATGCTCAAGAAACTGGAGGAGGTCAGTGCGGCTGCAGTTTGCGAGCAAGGGGGAGGGAGAGTGTCGGGAGGAGAGGATCTAGACGACGGTGAGGGGCTGGCCTTTCTCCTGAGAGCAGTGGAGGCTTCCAAGCAGGGGATGGCATGGTCATTTTTGCGCTGTGACATATCACCCAGGGTGCAGGGTGGGGAACAGATTTCAGGACAGCAATAATGGGAGTGGGGACCTGCAAGAAGGTGACTGCAGCTGTCCAGGATGACGGCGGTCTGGGACCAGGTGCTGGCTGTGGAAACGGAGAGAAATGGCTGGTCGGTGGGTGCCACACAAAGGAACTTAGAGCAAGACTGGAAAGCAGTGTCAGATACAGAAGACGGATGT